ACAGACCTTGGGGATATTGCATATGCCAGTGCAATAAGTGGATCACATAATGGCAAGTGCTGTATGATTCCGCCTATAGGAGGTACCCAGAGTCATTAAATTCATGGAGCCACAGAGTACAATGTCCGCTACCAGGGAGTTAGTGCTTAGTGGGGAGACAGTTTTCATTCACCAAGAGGACAGGGGTTCTGGAGCTGGATGGTGGTGATGACTGCACAGCAGTGTGAAAGTACTTATACTTCTGAACTGTCCACTTAAAAGTGGTTAAGATATGAATCTTATGTGTATTCTACCATCATAATGACAATGCACACCTTAGCCTGGGGCGGAGATCAGGTTAGAAGGAAGATTAGATAGGGTAGAGTAGAATCATATACGGTGCTTGACTGTATGGTTGATTGTCTGTGCCAATTTGAGGAAGAGAAGTTTAACTAAACTGGCTCAGCAATTTCCCACCCTAGGGTATAGAAGACCCACCCTAGAGCAGCTTGTCGCCTGGACAGTATAAAGCAGAAATGAAGAAGGTTGGATCTGTTTCTGTTTCTTTGGAGGAGCTCCAGTCTTCGCCTTCACCTTGGACGTCATCCTCTGTCTTCCAGTGTAGACTCTTTGGCTTCTGGCTCAGACCCTCAGTGAAGACTCTTTAGCCTTTCATCAAAGACCCATCCACCCCGATACGGACTTGCACCAAACACTGCAGTGAGCTCCAGACCTACTGAATTCTCTGGTCTCCAGCATGCAGACAGACCTTCTGCACTCTTCCTCATCTGACTCAAGGTGGCCATCGTAAGCCCATCTTGTAAATTCTTGTATTTATGTATCTTGTGTTATATCAGTTTCTCTAGTAAACACTGACTGATGCACAGGGGATATAAGTAATCTCCTTAGATGAAAGTATCTCCCTTTAGACATTACTGGGGGAATCCAGGCATGGGGATGAACACCTGTGATCCCTGAACGCTAGGAGGCAGAGGCAGGATGTTCAAACCTAGGCTGGGCAACTTAGTGATCTAGTGAGACTGTATCAAAAATAAAACAAGGGGCTGGGGATTTAGCCAGCGGCAAAGCGCCTGCCTGGCAAGCGCAAGGTCGTGAGTTCGGTCCCCGGTACCGGAGAAAAACCAAAAACCAAAAAAAAAATAAATAATAAATAAATAAATAAAACAAAGGCCCTGGCTTCAATCTCCAGTACCATAAAAAAGAAAACTGACTAGGGGAATCTTCTCTGTTTTTTCGAAGGTTTGATTTGCATTGTCCCACTGGAAGATGCATCTTTTAGCAATGAGCTCCTATACAAACCTGTCGGGGGGTTCTCATGGTGTGGAGTCTCACAGAAAACCAGCATTTGATCATTTGGCTGCAAGCAGTGGTCTGTCTTTATAAGACAGACAGGCTGGGTCTGAGCTTGGCCGTGTCTATCATTGAAGGCCTTTGAGGATCAAAGCAAAAGACTGCATGCAGCTAGCACCCCCCCGTGAGTCACCCGGGACAAGTGCTTTTTGCAGTTTTCAAGCTTTGATTGTTTAAGTACAGCAATGACTAAGTGATGCTACTCAGACCACTGAGCTAGTGATGCCCAGCACATAGTGGGCCTGTGGCAGAGCTGTCTCTCCCCACGGACCTTCCCGGGTCTTTGTTCAGGAGAAAGGGGCCTCCAGGCAGCACCTCTCCTCCTGCTCTATCTCCTGATCTCCTAGACCAATCTCCAGTACTCTGACCGGCAATATGCTGGCTCTGGACATTTTCACTGGGGTGTCCAAGGCTGACCTCTGGTAGTGAGGCAGTGCACAGCGAGAGGAAACCGCAGTTTTAAAATGCATATGCAGCCAGGTGTGGTGGCATTCCCCTGGAATCCCAGCCCTTGGGAGGCTGAGGCAAAAGGTTGGCTGTGAGAGTTTGTGGCCAGCCTGGACCACATAACGAGTTCAAGAACAGCATGAACTACATAGCAGACCCAGTCCCAAATAAAATAATAATAGTAAAAAATACAATGGATATGCAAATGTGGCCCCTTAGCCATAGTTTTCCTTCCAGGGTCTCAGGTTCAACTGTAGTCTGAAAATATTAAACGGAAAAATCCAGAAAAAGGAAATTTATAAGTTTTAAATAACTTTTATTATGGTATATTGTTAGAATTATTCTATTTTATTAGAAATTATTATTGTTACTCTTTCTTGTGTGCCTAATTTGTAAATTAAACTTTATCATAGGTGTGTCTATTAGTCAGCTCTTTGTTGCTCAGACAAAATATATGATGTACACAACTTAAAGGAGGAAAGGTTTATTTTGGCCTGGGATTTCAGGCTAGAAAGAAGATTGGACAGGACAGAGGTTTTGGTCCATACTTGTCTTGGTCACATTTCTGTCATTGCTAAGACAAAATACCCAATGCTCAAAATTAAGGAAGGAAAGGTTTATTTAGCTCAAAGTTTGTGGAGGTTTCAGTCCATAATCAGCTGGCTCCAAGGCAGGGTAGATGGCACAGGGGCAACAGTTCAAGGCAGTAGAAGACAGCAAAAGCAGCAAGAGCAAAAAGTGGGGAGAACAAGCCTCTCTCCCTCCCTTATGTTGCAAGCAGACTACCCCCATGCAGGGGGCTTGTAGCACTCACACCCTCTTCAGACCCTCCTCTTGCACAGGCTCAGGATGAATATAAAGTAAGCACCCTGGCTTCCTGCTGAGTCACATAGTTAACCTTCTAAACTTCTCAAACTGACACAATGAACAACATCCCAGAGTGGTAAGGGCATGCCCTTTTCACCCCAGGATGTAGAACTGCTAAGTCACTTAGCGAAGCCTCTAGCCTCAAGTTGACACAATGTATCAACTGTAACACTGCTGGACCCAGGGCAGAAACGTGGTAGAAAGATGTGGTGACTCCTATGGCAGCCAGGAAGCAGAGAACAGAAGGAAGGAGCCAAGGACAAAACACAGACCCAAAGGTCCCGCTCTACAACCCATCAGGACTTACCCAGAAGTGCACCTAACTCGTTTCCTAGGTGTCTCACAAGCTGATCAAGTTGCCGGTCATGATTTACCATCACAGTACAGCTGTACATGAAAGAACACTGTACATGTAGGATTTGGTGCTGTCTTTGGTTTCAGGCACCCACGGGGTCTTACAGTGTGTTTCCTGTGGCTTGGGGGTACTGCTCTAGGTCTTGGTAACTCCATGTAACTCGTCTGCCCTCCCCATTGCAATACCACCATAAGGTTGTGTTTCAGAGGCGGGTGAAGGAACCGGAACACAGAGACCTAAAATATCGTGTCTGGCCCTCGATTCCAGAAGCTAGACCATTGGTGCACCAAATGCTGAAGTCATGAAGAATTCAAGCCTTTTAAGGCTTACACCACACTTGGGAGAAGCTATACCAGGTTTTCCATGCTCTGAATGAGATAACCATTTATTTTGCTGAAAAAAGAAAAGAGGCTGAGAGGTAGAGTCCGTCATCAGCCAGCCCTGTGACCACGTGGGTCATGTTGCCTGCCTGGGCATCGGCTCCTTTGTCTGTACACAAACCCGGGGGTCACACATCACCCCCAATTTCAGAAAGCCACAAACCACCCTCAGATCCAGAGGGTCACGCATCATGTCCCCAAATTGAGGAGCTCACATGTCATCTACTTAAGCCCGCTGATTGTTCTTGGAACCTGACACTGGAAATCTCTCCACTGAATCATTTCTTCCAACTCTGACATTATGAATGTGTCTCCAAGTTTACTCTACTGTTTCCATGTCTCATGCCCAATTCTTTCCTTCCTTGAATGTTGTCTTTGTCAGACGGGCAGGGTGAGGTAGTGGGACGGACATGGCCAGGGGTGGGTTTAGGAATCTGAGCCAATCATTTGTTAGTAGTGTGACGTCACGTTAGCTATTAACTTCTCTGAGCCCCAACTCCTCATTTTCCAAATGAGGATAAAACAATATCTTTCCAAGCCATCATACGAATGAGAAGTCATGAACAACCACTGATAGCTCACGTACATGGTGGTATCATAGCATAATGGTTGAAAGCTCAGGCTCTTGGGTCAGGCAGACTTGGATTTAAACCCACTTCTAGCCAGCAGGTGAGCAGCAAACTCTAAACAAGAGTTGGTGTTATTGTTAGCTATTTGGGGGAAAGGTTCCAGCTGGTTACAAGTGGTTTCTTGTGTTCCCATGGATTTTGAGGACAGTAGCCACAAGTCACAGTGTATGACCATGCTCTGAGTTGCAAAAGTAGGGCGCAGGAAACTTAATCTTTATGAGAAGGATCACCAGCAGCAGCAGCAGCAATATTATGCAGACAAGAGTTCTTTGGATAAGATCAAAAGTTCCTTCCAGCCTAATAACCTCAGTGTCTTCTTTAGGGACAAGATTGTTTCAACTTTGAGTTCCGTGCCACTTGAGAAGCAGTATACTGTTTCCAATAAAGAAGCCAACTGTTGAAATCCTGGATCTCTGCCACCCAGTGTGGCCATCCAGAGGGGCTGGATTACAACAGAGAAAATCAAGGGTCAACGCTGTTGGTCAGTACAGCCTCTGTGGATGGTGCTGGGGGTCATCACCGAGAGATACTGCCCCTGGCTGTGCCCACCAAGCACAGTGAACAGGGATGTCCCGGCTCCCAGGGTCCTCAACAGAGGTGGGAAGAGCAAAGGACATGTAAGTCCACAAGTCAGCACTTCCACAGCTTGCAGAGCTGCAGCTGGGCCCTGACAGCACCGTGGGGAGCCTGCTTGTCCTGGAGCCGGCCCAGCAGAGGCCTGGTTGATCCAGGCTGACAGCAAGCCCGGCCCTCGCCCTCTCAGTACTCACAGAACTGGAGTCTTCATGGGAACCCTGCACACTGGGTTTTCCCGAGTGCGAGGTGAAAATGGAACCCAGGTGGACTTAAGGGGATCGATGTGCTTTGAACGGTGAAATAAAGTTGTGGCAGAGGAAGTGCTATTTCAAAAGCATCGCTAGAGGTGACTCACTCAACTATTAAAAATGCGCAAACAAAAAACCCAGAATCTCACCCATTTCTGTCGATTTTTATTAGCCCTCTTGAAAAGAGCTGGGAGACGCAGATCCTGGCCCACTTTGCAGGTGCTTCTGCTGGTCCTCCGTCACACTGTGTATGACAAATTCTGTATCCAGACTCACCGTCATCAGCCCCTTGTTGGTGGCAAGGTGGTGCCGAGGCGGATTCATACCCATGCGAGCCCCTACCACAGGACTCGTACTGTCTTGCCTTCTTTTCTGAGATGTTAATATGAGACCCATATAAATATATGTAATATAGTGCAAGGTGAAATGTAATATAGTCATATAAACAAATAATAAACTCAGAAGATTCCAAGTAATTGTTAAAATAAACTCTATTAGGCTTTTTTGAGCCATTTTAGGTTCACAGCAAAGTTGAATATAAGGTGCAGAGTGTTTGCACATGCACCCTTTGACCCCACACATGCACAAGCTCCCCCACTAGGAACGTCTCCTACTACAGGGCTTCATTTGTTACAATCCATGAACCTACATTGACATACCATAGTCGCCCAGAGTCCACGGTTGACATTAGGGTTCACTCTTGGAATGGTACATTTGATACCACATCAAATTTGAACAAGTACATAATGACCTGCACACAGCATTACAGTATCGGGCAGAATAGTTTCACTGCCGTACACACCCATCCATCCTTCTCCTCCCCATCATTAAACAATGGTTCTGTAAAGTTGCAGTGTAGCCTTGCGTGTTTGGTAGGGCACATCATCTCTGTCTGTATAAGTACACTCCAGGGTGTGACCTAACAATGTGTTTCTTAGAATGTCTCCCTGTCATTAAGTGACCCAGACTGTACTACATAAAAGATTGTATTGGGAGTACAGTAGGAATCATAAAAAGTAAGTTGAGAGTCTCAGTTTAAAGAAAAAAAGCCTCCTGACATAGATGTAGTGGGAACAAAAAGTCTGGAGACAGATGAATCTAGAGCACGCTGCATTCATACAGCTTCCCAAATGTCTGTAGTTCTCACACACAGTAGAATCTAGATGCGAATATGCGAAAGAATGTGGAACTCCAGCAAACAGGGAAGGCTCTCTATCCAAAGGCAGGCAAGCACGTGTAACTGTGTATTGTTTAAGTACCACAAAAATAAATATTTAAATAAGTGTGAATGATAAACATTGTTTTCACTTGAGTTACACAAGACAGTCTCTACCGTATCTTTTGAAAAAGCAGTCTACCATTCCCACGTGTTGATGTATCATAGTTGAGTAAATCTACAATTAAATTTTCTCTATTAGATTTTTTTTTAAAAAGCAATGCTACAGTGAACGTTTTCATGTATTCTTTCTGTACACTGAATAATTTTTAAAGGAGAATATTAGAGGAGTAGCTTATAAATATACCTTTCTGGATTTTGCTGAGTACGGGTACTATCCTTTTTTGCTTTCCAAAAGTGTAATATTTCTGTATGCTTAACATTTGTCTTGTAGATTATGTTTTATTCATCTGTTTCTATGAACAAACCACCCCATAACTTTGTGGCTTAGCCCAACCACCATTTTATTATTTAGCATGATTCTGAGGGTTGACACTGAAGGTGGATTCTTATGTTGGTTACACTCACAGCTGCCACCAAAGAGCTCCTGGACATGTTCGGAGAATTTGAAAACTCCAAGCTTCTGACAAATAAATTGCCAAGGTCGGAATGGGGAAGGAGGCCACGAGTTCAGTGTGAGAAGGAACGATTGCCTTTAAGATGAACCATTTCAACCTGTAGCTTTGGGGCTGCGATATAGCTCAGTGGCACAGCCCAAGCACAAGGACCTGAGTTCAAGTCCCAGTAACAACAACAACAAAAAAAGATGTTAAAAAAGTCTATAGCTTCTCCTCCCTCTCCCCCAGCTCCAGTTCTGCACTAAGGATGACGGGTAAAAAGCATCACAGTGAAAAAGTCAGAGCACAGCCCTGAAAACACGAGATAGGGGTGGATTCCAGGAGCACACCAATCCCTATTTAATTTATTTTAAGAACCCTACTTTAGCTAAATGTGAGGATTCCAGATTCCCCTGAGGCAGGGGGAGTACCAATCTTATGGGAAAGCTTTTGTTCCGCAGTTATTCTGATTCCCGAATTTCAGGGTACAGTTAATAATTGCTACTTTCTTTTTTAAACACTTCTTCAGCAAAGCTCGGGTGTCACCAGCATAAGAGGCAACTCTGAAAGGAAGACCGAAATATATAAACAGCCCCCCTCGCAGCTCAACAAAGGCTGCTTTGTGACCTCCACAGAGGAATCAGTATTTCAGAAGAGGCTGGTGCTTCCAGGGCCATAACTCTCTGTCATGGTCAGGCCCAGGTCCACCCTCTTCAGAATTCTTTCTTCCACAGCCCACATCTCCTCGACAGTTCCTCCCACCTCCCACGTTCAAATATCTTTGAATAAAGTCTCTAGTGGGATTGCCACGTCCTGGTGCTCCGTTGAGAACTTCTAGAAGGAATGTGGGCTTCCGCAGAAGACTGTGGCATCAGCCCTAGGTTAAGTCAGTTGTGCTTAAGGGTGGAATTGAAAGAGTTCCACATGATCAGTTCTCTGGAAACCATCTCTCCCCATGCTGACCTGAAATTCTGAGTGGGGAGGGTAGAAAGAAGAGAAGACAAACTGACAAGCTATGGGTGGGCTGCTGCATTAAGCTATGGGAAAGAGCCCTTGCAGGGGGGCGATTCGGAGCCAGCAGATATGAACTTGGCATGTGTCTCGGCCCTGTAATATTCCCTCGTAAATTGTAACTGCACTATTGTCCCATCTACTATCCATGAGACAGAGGAGCTGTATATTAGAAACCTCAGTCCTCATTTTGCAGGCCAGCAGGTGAACACAGAGTTCAATAATCTGCTCAGGATAACAGCTAACAAACAGCATAGCTGGTTTTTCCCACTGGCAGAACCTAAGCTCTGTCTGTCTCATGCTGCCGGGCAGATTGTTCCAGAAACATGCCAACAGAGGCCGGTCCCAGAGAGCTGCGCACTGTGACCACCCTCCTCAGAATGCCATGGGCATCCCCCTTGTTTGAGTTAGTTTTCCCAGAGGACAGCATCTGAGCCCACAGCCACCTAATAATGTAAGTAGAGCGCAGTGTCAGAATTGAGCTTTGAGTGAAAAGCTCAGGGTGGTGGTATTTGTCTCAGTTTCCTTTCTCTATACCCCTGATCTGGACAGCGGTCATCACATTGAGAACATCAATTTCAGTTCTGGGTGATTACCAACCCTAGGAAGGGGTCCCAAATTGTCTCCGTTATTAGGACAAAGAAATGTTGATTGAACAGAATTAGATCTGTACTACAGATGGAGAATTCTCTGTCACAACAACAACAGTGATGAGAGTTATGGTACTTGTCATTTGTCTTCTCAGGATAGCTGTATGGAGACTCTTTGCTACCCAGGCTCAGAGTAAGGCCCCTCCTTGACTTCTCTTCCCTCTTTCTCTCTCCAAGCTCTAGGCCTTTCTCTCCCTGGCCTTGCCCATTGGTTGGCACTGGGTTTCTCTGGAGTCAGACTCCCTGACTGCAACCATTCCTATTGAGGAACATGACATAAATATTTACGGAGTTTAACAGGTGCAGATCGTTTCCATAGCCGTAGATAATCTCTTCCATCCAAAAAACAAAGTTCATCTTGTTTGCACTTCAACAGATGAACAGAAGTGATACTTGACAGAGAGAGAGAGAGAGAGAGAGAGAGAGAGAGAGAGAGAGAGAGAGAGAGAGGGAAATTCTAGCACATTGCTGTTTTTATGAGGATACCTAACCTGCTTCCTCCCCTCTTTCATCCTTCCCTACCTCATTCTTATCATCTATCATGGGGCATTTGGGAGCCCCTACTAGAGCAGTGAGCTCTGAAGATAGAGAAATAAAAAACAGACTCCAAATGTAGGGACATAAAACAAACATTTTAAATATTCTACCATCCCACCTAAGAAGCGCTGACAAAATGCTAAGTGGTCACCTTCCCTGTGGAGGATGGAAATGCTTCAGCTGAGCAGTTTTGAAGGATGCCCAGAGGAGAGAAGGAAGGCTCACAGGCAGCAAGGCCAATGGGCGCAAAGCATAGTGGCCTGAAAGAAAGTTCTAGAAGAGCAACTTGGTGGGACTGGTATCACTCTACAAGGAGCATAGGCTATAGGCAGTAGTGTGCCCGAATTGGTAATGGAACAGAATCTTAAAACAGTGAAAAGGAATTCACTAAGGAGAATATAGAGCCAGTGAAGATATCAACTAGGTCTTGTCCTCACAACCAACCCCTAGCTCTTTCTGGACAGTCTATAAATATTTATGAATGAGCTGCCCACATCAGAGCTTCTCAAACTTTAACACACATCCCAATCCCCTGGGCTCTGTGCTCTGTGGTTTAAAAATCAGCAGGTCTGAGAAGGAGCCCTTGAAGTTGTGTTTCTAACCAGCTTCCTGAAGATGCTGACTGTCTTTGGAATAGCACTGGTTTATATAGTAATCTTCCCATTGGTTTATGCAGAGCAGTCAGAAAGTGCTCAGAATAAATATTTTGTTTTATTTTTTAATTTTAAAGATAAAAGAATGAAAACATATTAATAAACAGACATAAACAAAACAACAGCAAAACAATAGAAGCAATACAGAATTTCAGACAAGGTGATAGGAGGTTAACAATGGTGGTTGTATTACATATTGTTATCTTCAAATTGGTTACTCAGTTAAACAAATATAGACATGTAAGATTGTTCAAACAAAGATCCCAGATCAGAGGACAAATAGTACCCTCCCTTTGTATATCGCTTTATAGTTTCCAAAGTGTTTTTCTTTTCTTCCTTTGCCATTTTGTAACACTACTGTCTCATGTCTCATGTTACAGATCAAGAAGCAGGTTCTAATAGCCAGTCACCTGGGCAAGGACCCACAGCAGGTAAAATACAGAGCCGGGAAATAAATCCAGATCCTCTGACTCCTATATAGATCTCTTCCTTCCACTCTGAACACAGATAACTTTAAGAATAAAGGAAATATTGATAGAAATATTCCTTCCCAGTAGGTGACTCCAAGCATCATCCTGGGAACAGAATTTTGAGAAGTTCTGGGACTCTAACTCATCTTAAGGAAGACCTATGTATTCATTTATTTTCATAATAATAACACGTAAGTAACAGCACAATATTGTTTTGGCTTTTGGCTATCATGTATAGCACAGCAGTTGAGAGCATAGTCTTAGAACAGACGTGCTAAGTGCTCATCCCAGTTCTGCCACCTATTAGTCACATGACCATGGACAAGAGCTTGATCTTCTTTGCCTCAGTCTCCTTATACATGAAAATAAAAACAGTAAGTTTTTTTAAATGGGAACTGAAAGAGTTGATCTATGTAAAGTGCTTAGAAGAGTAGTTGGCATATATATATATATTTTTTTCTTTATATTTTATGTCTTTATTATTAATAAGTGTCCTAAAGCCATTTTGCCTTCCTCCTGGGGTCAGGTAGCATCTGCAGGAGGCCTATATTCAGAACAGGTGTCAGGAGTGTTGAGACTGTGGTTTCTGATCCAGAATTTTCTCAAAAACAAAATCACCTGTCTCGAGGTCTGCAGTCCTCTGGATGCCAGCAACAGCAAGCCATCTTGTTCTCTTGAGAACATCTCCATTCTGCACTTCAAAGCCCCTGCTTCCCTGTTTTCTTCTTTGGGTTTGTTACATTACAGTATTCATGGATTT